GTGGCAAAATTTTGTCGACCTGGTTTCGGGGAGGTCGGAGATATACAAATTGAATAATAGAGGAGCCAAGACCGAGCCCTGCGGTAGGGCGTTATTCAATTTTCTCTCCCTGCTTATAATACTTCCTAGGTAAGTGCGGAAGTACTTGTTGCTTATCATGTTATTGAGGAGGGCTGTTGTTTTTCGGCAGCGAATTGTTTTTAGTAATTAGCAAATCATTCCCTCTCTCCAGACCGTATCGTAGGCAGCGGATAGGTCCACAAATAGAGCAGATGTTTTACGTCTTTCTTGGAAACCGGCCTCTATGAAAGTTGTTAAAGCTAGCACCTGGTCGCAGCAGCTTCTGTTGGGCCGGAATCCCGCCTGTTCGGCTGGGACTTATTGCAATACGGGGCGCTTATTCTAGTATATAGAAGTCTCCTTAGCAGCTTGTACGTACAGCTGAGCAAGGAAATTGGTCTAAAACTTTGCGGGAAATCAACTGGTTTACCCTGTTTTAGAATGGTCACTATTTTCGTGCTTTTAAGCTTGCTGGGCACCGATCCTCTATCCAAGATGTTGGAGAAGAAGCGGGCTAACCATTTCTTTGCTGTGTTACCCAGGTGTATCAGAAGCTGTGAGTGCAGATTATCCAAACCAGGTGCTTTGCTAGGCTTAGTCAGTTTCAGGGCCTCATCCAGTTCGGACAGTGTGAACGGTGTAGAGAAATTTGAGTCCTTTAGGCATCGATCTCTTAGAGATACAAATTCTCCTTTTATTTTGGTAGTGTTGTTTATCACGGGCCGCTCTGGAAGTTTCCACTATATGATAAGAGATTTGGATGGCTGAAATATTAGGCGTCTGGCCAGACTTGCTGGAGGCCCCGCCAAGCCTACGTAGCATTCCCCACGCCTTTCTGCTTGAATAATTGAAGTTTGCTCTCAGCCATCTCCGTCCAGCGCGTATTCCTAACAGCATCAAGGCTGTGAAAGAGGTCGTCCGCAATATTGCTATCGCCACAGCTGTTGTATTCATCAGAGTTGTTCGCATTGCTCATTCAATAAATAAATAAAGTATGTAAGTAAGTACTTAAAACAAATAAAGTCATAGGGTCAAGCTAGGTTTTAAATTTGAGACAAAAAATTTAGCTGAGAAAACAAGACTAGCTTTTAAAATGTAGATATATGATCATCTAGAATTGGTTCAAAAGATAGATACCTATTATTTATTTTACATATTTATAAAGAAATATTTAACAAACATACAGTTTTAAAATAATAAAAAAGTAAATATGTATTATCTCTAAGAAGATACATATATTTAATATTAATATGATTATAGTATGTACATTAATAAAACTAATTACTATGTATACATTTTCCTTGCTTTTGATGAAGCAAATTTATCAATAATATTATCAAAGTTGATCATTTCAAATTTTTCTCTTTCCGCACTTAAAATTGCTACGTCAATTAGGCGATCTTGTCCCATCGTTGATGATAGATATGTTAAAATTAATTTTAATTTGCTGAATGAACGTTCGCAGCTAGCAATTGATACTGAGATAGTCAGGAGTATTTGAAGTGCCACTCTCAGGTTTGGAAAAACATCTTCTCCATGAGAGATTTTAAAAGTAAAAAATTCTAATGGAGTTTTAAGTTTAATTTCTATTCTACTGCGGAGTAACATTTTGCAGTCACATATTTCGCTAAAGAGTTCAATTCCATTGAAATCTGTATTATAAAATTCACTCAAATTTTCACAATTTTTTTCAAGGTTGTTATCAACGTTACCATTGTTTAATAAAGTTTCAACGTCTAGTAGAAATTCAAATTTGAAATTAAGGTCACTTAATCGTCTAAATCGTGTACATATTTGTTGTTGGAGCCAATCAAGAACGCTTTTCATAACGCGAGAAATTTCACTTTCTGCGGAAGGGCCAACATCTTTAACCAATCCTCCGGGCATTTTGCGGCGTCTTCTTACACGTATTGTTGCATCAATATCCCATTTTTTACAAAGAGACTTCGCTTTGTCTATTGCCTCTTCACAGAGCTTGTCTGTAATTTCGGATAGTTCAGCGGCTAATGATTCAAGATCATGGAACGCTTCTCTAAAATTAATTCTAGGATCTTGCAATCTTCTGAGCTGTACACGATCAATCCGCCTTAAGATTTCATATCAGAGATGAATTAAAGTTATGAAACTAAAAGTAAGTATATTCTGCAACAGAATTGTAGCTTCACTTCTGGTGTCACTTGTAGTGGTAATGTCCAATGCTAATTTTTCTAATAGTTCTACTATATTCTCTAGCTCATCGACGATAACGCTAACCGCTTGTATTCTGGCGCTCCATCATGTTTCAGACTCACGTTGCACAGTCTTTGTTAAAGCGTTTTTTAATAATTCCTATCGTAACGTTTAACGTGAGAAAAAGATATATATGCTTTCAACTGTTCCAAAACATGTCACAACATGTCCTACTAAATTCAATGAATGGTTATCACAATTTACAAATAATGCTTTATAATTTTTTTCCATTATTCTTTGTTGAACGCCAGATGTGTGACCTGCCATCACGGCAACATTATCGTAACATTGTGATCTGCAATTTGTTAACGAAATTTCATCGGAATTTAATTTTGCCAAAATTGTATTTTGGATCGAGGCTGCATCTTTAGCATCTACCATATCTATTTCAATAAAACCCAAAAAAGATTATTTGATGGAATCCTTTTTATTGATAAAATCAACATCTAGATATCTAACGACTTGGGAAATTGGTTCTCGATGAGATTTCTCAGGAGTTGAATCAAACAAAAGTCCATAATATGTATTTCTTTTGATATCGTTAACCACTGAGCGTTCAGAGACGAAAAAACGAAAGCTAAGAAGAGGACGTAGGAATAAATTGAAATAATCGGTGGAAAGTATGTACAGATAATAATACATTGAATTCGTACCAAAAAGCTCTTCTGTATCCAAAGATATTCAGGTATGGAAATCTGGTAATCAAAGTCGTAGGTTAAAGAGCGAAACTATTGCCATACATTACATGGTTGGAAAATTGCTGGTGTTCATCCATAGAAGAGTTTCTCTAGTGTGATGAGCATCTAAATATTGTTGCTCCTAATAAATTGTATAGTATTTTTTCGGTTTCCCTGAGTACTTTATTTCATCGTCTCTTTTATCTTTTGCAGTAGATAAACGACTTCTATACCGGTATATAAGTACATATGGCTACAAATTACTTTGATGTTATGCTATATTTTCTCAGAACGAATTTTTCTAAGGTTCTTCTTATCAAAAATGCCACTAAATTATTGCAAGCAAACTGCTTGTATGCAGGGTGTAGCAGAAAAAGTTATTTACAGGATGCCTGAAAAGCAATTGCGTTTAATTGTTCTGGACACTAGCCATTTTTGAAAATTTTGGATTTTCTAACTTGCGTTCCTCTCAAAAAAAAAAGAAACTTTTGTTATGTTATTAAACATGCTCTTTCTCGAATTCTCAATGTATTCAGTTGCAAATGCTAGAAGATACATTTTTGACTGTTACAAATCTACAATCATTTTCTTTTGTATACATTTTATTGTATCAATAGAAAGTCGTGGACTTTTCCGTCAATTAATCCTCAAATAGCCGAAAGATACTAACTCAAGCATAGTAACTGCAACACCAGAAAATTTGAAAACTTTAACTGACCACAAAAAATGAGAGTGATGCTTCTCCGATTTGCCTTGCATAATTTGCTATTCTGAGCTTTACCATTGTAGACGTACTAAGTAGTCCGAAAAATGTGTAATATGAACCTTAATTTGTTAATATGTAAACTTATGTACATATTTATTTAAAATATGTTACTTTACTTAACTTAACGTGGGAATATGTTGATATATTTACCTTTTTAGTATGTTTTGCTGATTATAACTTTATTTAGCATGAATAAAAAAAGTTTTCTGTATGTTATTTGAGCAGTTTATTACAAATTATTGTATCAACTAGGTGATACATTCTACATGTAGGTACATAGGTAACTCCTCCTGTGATGGTTATGGGTGAATCGAGTAGCTCATTGACTATCACAGCCGGTCCCAAGCCCGGATAAAGAAGAATAGTTGAAGGGTGAGGCTAGCAACCTGCATTTTCTAAAAAGACATAAACGGAACATTAGAGTTATGGACCAACAAGTACTACGAGATGATATTGGAACGGAAGGAAAACAGAATAGACATCTAGGCTCCCTCGGAAACTAAGAAAAAAGGCACTGGAAATGAAAGATATCAAAACTACACATTATTTTATAGTGGCGTTGACAAGAACATGAAAGCTAGAGGAAGTTTAGTATTATTGGTTAACAACAAATTAGAAACGAGTATCAAAGAAGTACAATTTACAGGGTGTCCACCGGGGACCGCCGCGGTCGAAAGCTGAAAACTAGAATTAGGAGAAATTTGAAAATTGGACAGTGTGCCATCATTGGGGGCACGCAATATAAAATATTGTACCGTGGATGGCCGAGTATCTAACTCTTTCTTCTGCTTCCAACTTTTATTTACCTCGGTACAACTTTAACTACGGAACAGGAACAAACTAACTTCTAAATTAACGTCAACTTCACAAACAATAACAAAAACACACGAAAAACTCGCTCTTCAGACTCGCGGGGCTTAACCTCTTCTGCACCCGGTCGCTCCTGTCACTTTACTGACCCGCCATGGTTCTCGTCGTCGCCTATATAGTTTTCTCCAGGTATCCCAGATAGTTCTCGAAATCTCCAGAACAGGTGCGAAACTTCCCGCTTGTCAGTGTCATATTTGACAGTAAATG